GAATAGAATAGAATAGAATAGAATCAGCCTTTATTGTCCCACGCTGGGAAATTCTGGTGTAGTAGCAGCAGCATATACATACATCAATCCACCAAACAGTATGTTGCCATGTGACAAAATCAATAGCAGCAAAAATAATAGAATTAAAGGTTAAAATTTTTAAAAAATCAACTGATCAGTAGCAAAATCCAAAAACCAGCTAAATCAAAGCTAAAAGCTAAAATAAGCAAACCTGTAGCTAAAATCTAAAACGAGTAAAATGGTAGACAAATGTTAAAAGGAGCGTAAGAAGAAGTAGAACTTGTACCATGAATTACAGTTCAAACCAAAACGTTATTTTTAAAGGAGCTGAAGACAACTTAATTTAACAACTTACTTTAATGTTTTTTGTAACAAAGTTAAAACCCTTTTAAAAAATTGCAAAAAACTTCCTAAATGAGCTGAATGTTTTAACAAACAGTTGATTAAAAGAGCACAAAGTGTGTAAAAAGAAACTGTAAAAAGGGAACCATTCGTTTTAAAGCTGAGAATCACACTGTAAAGATGCTTCAGTGCTCATGAATTCTAACTTTTAAAGGGCCAATATTATGTGTTTCTCAGGCATATATTTAAATACTATACCATAATAAAATATCTATGTCACCTTTAGTTGTTATTAAAAAGCTGTTTTTATGTTTAAATAGAAAATAAACTTATCTTCTCGTCACTTCCTCTTCTAAACGCCTTGAAATTGGCCTCTGTATCTTTAAGAACCACCGTCCGCTTCCGTTTTGCCCATTTCGGTGCCGGGGTGGGGGGTGGTGGGGGGCTGCTATGATGTAGTTTACTTGGAATCTGAAAGTACATTTCCTCAAAGGTATTTTTCATCTGAAAAGAGCTTCACTGAGTGAGAACTAATGTTGAGAGCTCACCAGACAGCTAAGTTTCACTTTCACTTTCACCCAAAAGCCTGCAGGAGTCATGGGCGGGGTGTGTGGAAAGGAGGGTTGGGGTGCGCTCTGCCGTGAGGAAGTTTGACTTAAAGACAGGTCGCAGGGGCATTTCTGGTCCCCAAAGGTGCTTCTGGTCCCCACCTGTCGTTTTGCTCCTCAGCATGTCTTCCTAAAAACGCTGCAGGATTTCTCAAANAAACATGCATGAATGGGTCAGAGCAAGGCTTTGGGCATGTTTTTATGAGAGTATAACATTATAACATGATATAAAACTCAAAAAAGTTGATTTTACCTGATATTGCCCCTTTAATAAAACTGGTACAAATCTTTATATTTGTGCAGCAACAGTTACACCTGTGCTTTTTACATGTGTAAACAAAGAGATGTTTACATATTTTAGTAAAACAGCCTGTGACCAGTTGACAATCTACAAGGATTGACATTTACTTTAATAATATCAGCACTACTTAAACTGTAGTTTTCTTTCTGTAGCTGCTCCCAGGTTAGTAAACCATATAAACACTGACTTTTCTTTACCAGACACAAACCTGCAGAGCCGCTTTCACCAATGCTGAGTCTGAGTGACTTTGAAACTAAGTTTGACCGGAAGAAATCCCAATCCAACCAGGTACTAACACTGTCTAACTCGAACCAAATCTCATTTACAGACTTGGATTATTCTGCAGTTGTTACAAAATAAATGTTTGTTACAGTTGTCAAAGGCAAATGCACAGTACCACAAGTTATTTAAAACCGTCAACAAAGATGAAATCCTCAAACAAAGTAAGTTTCTGATTCTGCGTTCATACAAGAACAGGAAATGTTGAATTTGTTTCCTTTAAGGGGTGTTTGTGTTGTTGTCAGGTTACACCTGTGCCTTACAAAAAGACATTTTATATCAGGGGAAACTGTTTGTTTCTGACAACTGGATCTGTTTCCACTCAAAAGTCTTTGGCAAAGATATCAAGGTAAGTGGAAAGAGAACTCTTGTGATATTTCTGACACTCATTAGTTTGTATTTAAAAGATTTTCTTCCCCCAGATTTCCATCCCAGTGACATCTGTGAAATTAATCAGAAAAACTAAAACAGCAATATTAGTGCCAAATGCACTGGTGATCGAAACTACAAAAGAACAAGTAAGAGCATTTTCAAAACAAAATATTCTTTTTATTATATAAAAAGGGGGGAAAACTAATAAATTTCTTCTTTTTGTTTCAGCATGTTTTTGTGTCGTTTCTTTCTAGAAACAACACCTTCAAACTTCTGAAATCCATCTGCCCTCACCTGGAAGTAAATGACCTTTTTTTGTACATGTGGACAGTAGTTTGAACCTCAGAAATATTGATAAAGCAGACTGAATTGTTGCTTTCATTTGAACGCCGTGATTTCTACTCTCAAGAAGATAAATAATAATTACATTAACTTGCAAAACTGAAATTTATGTATTTTTTTTTACCAGAAATACACTTACTTTCTAGTTGATCTCATTAAAAATTAACAAAGACAAAAACGTTTTTGAAAACTTGACATTGGTATTTGATATACAGCGGGTAAAATAAGTATTGAACACGTCACCATTTTTCTCAGTAAATATATTACTAGAGGTGCTAATGACATGAAATTTTCACCAGATGTTGGT